ATAATAAAATATAAATTAAGATATTATTACCTCTTTTTAGAATTTGATTATACAAATGACTGAGCACTCTGGCTCCAATCCAGTTAAATTAATGAGTCTTCTCTCCTACTTAAGAGGCTGTGCCTGTATTAGTAAACTAAATGCCTGGGACTGTTCCCTGGCAGTGGGAGCCAGATGGTCAAGAATGGGACACTCTATGACACTAAATTGTCTTACTCTTCAAGCCAGTATAATCTTGCAAGCTGCTCATTGTGTTAGCTCCCAAAATATGCCCAAGAATTGCCTGGAAAAGTGTTAGGTGGCAAAAGCCAAAATTACTGGGCTAACACTGCAATGGTAAAGATAGTTGAGTTCCAAGCCCAAGAAGACTGTGTGACTCTGTATCACATGCCATGATAGATGTACATAAATTAAGTTCAATGTATAAAAGATGAAATTAAATTACTAAAATAATACACATGTTAAATGATTATGGCTCTAAGAAAATTGAAATATCTTGAAAAACATATTTTTAATGTTCTGTTCCCTTAATGTTACATTGCAAGTGTAAATCCACCTTCACCTCCTTATTTTTGTTGCTGTAAGGCACTCTGGGAATTTTCACAGGACGGTGCTGTTACTGAAATATCGGTGTGGAATCTCAACAAATGGAAGTTACAGCCTCACAGACTGCACCAGGACTCAGTTAAATAACTGAGCTTACTCCCAATGTGGAAGAGCACAGTACAGCCATCAGTGCAAGTGGGGAAAGTCAATTCTGTGAACTTCACACCCCAAAACTTGCACTGCAGTACACACTGCTTTCATCTGAAACAGCCATTGTACTCGACCCAGCACTCCATGCTTACGTAAGGCAAACATAGTTTCATATTCTGCTGACATGCTATGCATCATAATTGACCTATACAATTAATTAAAAGCAATAAGGAAAGTAAGTGGAATTTAACCTTAATCAGCACCCAAAGACATCAGTACCTCTGATGTCACCCTGAAGCATCAAGACAGCCAGAACAAGATTTATTTCAGGTAAGCACCAGAAAGTTTTCAATTTTATCACTTTCTGAGTTACCAATATCTGAAAATATCATGAGGAAAGGCCATGATAAAAACATTTTGCAGCACTTTTTGATCTTGAGCTGTTCATTTCAGGTCAAATATGTCATACGAAGATAGTTTCTTTTATAATTTATTTTATGGTTATTTTATATCTATGGAGTTCAAAGAAACTAATACATTTTCTTAGATGAACTTACTAGAAAAATAAAACAAAGAAAGGGGAAAGAAAAAAAAAAGAAAAATATTAGTGTAATTTTGGTAACGTAAATTAAGATCAAAAGTAGAAAACTACAAATGTGGCAGAAAGATTACACCTTCTCCATCATGTAAACCATCACTTACTCAAAGAAGAGGAAAATAAAATTAAATTTAGCAGCTTGCATCAACAGAAGGAGCCAAATATTAGATCAAGACAAAAATTATCAGTCTTCAAGGGAAATACAAGGGGTTGAACACTTGCTAACACACTGAATGAAATTCAACAGACTACTGCATAGAAGCAGGGCTGCTGTCCATGCGTGTTTTTAGGGGCAGTTGCAAAATGAAGGAATGATGACTTTTGCAAAGCATATTGTTGTATTTTATTTTTGTCTCAGTGTTCCATCTTCTGGATAAGAAATGGGAAAATCCTTGGTCTTCTGGAAGAGAATATACTCAGTCTCAAGCAGCTTGAGAGTCTAGAAAAAGTATTTATGCATGAACTTAGCTACAGGTCTGCACACTATACAGTCTGTGGGGATTAACCAGAGACTGAAAGGTCAAGAAACTGAAAGCTTTTTCCAGGTCAAAATTGGATATTCTTATGTGTCCTTTCCACAGACTAGAAATTACATCTGTGAAGTCTGTTTGCTTATCCAGTCAACATTGTGACAATTCCAAGTATACTGGATATAATATCAGGATGAAAAGTGGTACCATATAATCTAATTTTTTTTTAAGGTATCTATGTTTTTTTCTTTGATAAAGCATTTGTGGAGTTGATGAAGACATATTTACAAAATGTACAGCATTAATGAAAAGACTAGTTAATTAGAATTTATTTTAAAGAGCTTGTTTGTAGAAATTTCTGGATGCTAAAAAGAAAGCAAAAATTTTGTTGCTACAGAAGCAGTAAGAAATTTTGCCTGTGCTGAGTTGAAAGTACTACCTGGAAAAATACTGATATAGTATGCATTAATATTCAATTTTCTTAAATCCCTTTTCTGTTTCATGTATGTTTTCTTGCAGTTTGTTTCCACTTCAGTGTTTCTTCTTTCAGTCTCATTATATTTTTCTGACTTTTAGAGGTATGAAAAACTGGAAAATTACCACTGTTACTGGCATTAATCAAGCATACCTTATGAGAACTATTTTTCAAACAAATACAAATTTAGAGTATAAAATAAACAAATTAAATGCTACATCACCTGAGGGCAGAAGAGTACTTCCACATCTCAGATGGTCCAAAGCATTTTGAAGTGACATGACAAAATGCCAAAATAGAAGAACATGCAGGACAGCATGATGAGAGGGGTTCTCAAGAAGCTGTCAAGACAACCTCATGCCAAAGGACACAGAGAAGGCTGAGGCACTTAGTGCTTTCTCTGCCTTTGTCTCTGCTGGCAAGGTCTCCTCTCTGGCCTCCCACTTCTGCATGTCTGGTAGCAAAGATCTGGAGAGGACAAACTACTCATGGCAGCTGACAACTGAGTGAGGGACTACTTCACCTGGATGTACACAAGCCCATGGTCTTGCCCACAAGGCCTTCAAAGGTGCTGAGAGGGCTAGCTGGTGCTGCTGCAAGGCTGCCAGAGTCTAACCAGAAGCTGCTAATGAGTCCTACAGTGCTGAAGGGAGGAAGAAGTAGATGGTCCATGCTGGCAGGAATGCTGGTGCATCAGAGCACGGCCCTGCTGGTCAGGAGGAGCTTGACAAGCTGCAGAAATGTGTTGACGGGAATATCCTGGGTACAGCCAGATCGTAAGCTCCTCACCTGTGTTGCTTTGATGAAGTCTGGCCAATGGCTGGGTAAAAAACTCCTTTGCAAAAGAGGACCCAGAGATTTTTGGGCCCTCATACAAGAGAAGCAAACCAAAGTCCAGCTGAGGAAGGTGGTTTTACTTAGCTTGGAATACAGAAAGGTAATGGCGGGAATTAATTGCAGTCTTCCACTACTTACAAGCAGTTTTTAGAGAAGATGCAGGCTTTTTTTGCTCAGAGACAACAGAGAAAGGGCAAGATGCAATGATTACAAGCTAGAACATGTCTTTCACGATGGCACCAGTGAAATGGACTGCTTAAAATATATGTGGAATCTCCATCCTTGGAATATTTCACAAGTCTACTGGACAAAGCCCTGAGAAACTTGCTCTGATATTGAAATCTGCCCTGTTTCAAAGCAAGACTGGACTGGATGAGCTATTTACAACCTTTTAACCTAAATTATTCTGTCATACTACACTTCATGCTGCATTGCCTTGCAAGAGCCAAAATTTTGGTTTCCAGTATTTTTTTTCTACAAGTCATCCTTGAAAGTACATCTACAAAAGGGAAATACACTGATGGAACACACACCTCATGGAAGTTATACATTTTTCAATGCATTGTAGGAGGAAGAGCTCTAGCTATGGATTTTGGTCCCAGGGTAACCAGTATCAAACTTCCATAACTGCCTAATAAAACAACATAACGGATCATGCATCATCATAAGGAAGTATAAATTATCTTTACAATTGCTTTGAAAGAAAGATTGTAAACTCAGCTCAGTAAAAACTAACTCCAACCTTTTGATAACAGGAATGGCAATCTTTAGTTTCAATATTGAAATAAAGGAGTTCAACTTCTCCCAATTTGAACTTTTCAGAACAGATACCTCCTGGAAAACTTATGAAGGTCAAATTTCCTCCTTGCTTCAGGAGGAAAGCAAATATGAAAAGACAGAATTTTCTGCAAGACAGAAATGCTACATTTCTCTCAGCTGTATAACTGAACATTGTTAAGCATCATTCCTCTTAAGAGCACAAAATATTTTTGAACAAAAAGGCAAATAAATTTATCACCATTTTCCCATATCCAAAAAAATATGGGAACACTCACGCTCATCTCTGTCTATTATGGCTTACTGCCTTCCCCCAGTGGTTTTAATTAAGATGTTGTGAGTGTTCAAATTCAGAAAAAAAAAAAAAAAGCCAAAACAAAAAAACCCCAAAAAAACCAAAAAAGAAAAAAGAAAATAGAATCTTGTGAATACATTCCCTCTGATCTAATGTCAGGTTTTCATTTTCAGAAGACAAATTATGTAGGAGACATTATGATGCCTTTCTTCATAGAGACCTTTTAAAAAAAAAATCAAGATTTTTTTTTTTTTTTTATTTCCAGAATATCTTTTTTAAAAAACCACAAGGTGATACTTAAGAAGCTGGGAGGGGACAGAGCCAGGACAGCTAACCCCAACTGACCCAAGTTAGGGGTCAGCTAAATTCCCTAAAATATGGGATTGTGCTGAGTATGTGGAGCTGGAGGAAGAAGAAGGAACATTCAAGGGGGGACATTCGGAGTGATGGTGTTTGTCTTCCCAAGTCACTGTTGCATGTGATGGGGCCCTGCTTTCCTGGGGATGGCTGAACACCTGACTGCCCTTGGGAAGCTCTGAATTCACTCCTTGTTATGCTTTGCTTGTGTGCATGTGACCTTTGTTTTCCCTATTAAACTGTCTTTATCTCAACCCATGGGTTTTCTCACTTTCACCCTTCTGATTCTCTCCCTCATCCAAACCAGGGGATGGGAGTGAGTGGCTATGTGGGGCTGAGCTGCTGGCTGGAGTTAAACCATGACAGTAGTAAACAGAAATGGCCAAGGATGACTTGTCACTCGGTTATGGAAACAAGGACACCCATCATCATCATCTCACAAGAAAAAGCAGCATTTTCTCAGGAATGACTTTGAAGACATCTTATCAAAGTTACCTTTTTCTCCTGGAGGTCCAACTCTACCTGGACGACCTGGAGCACCTTTCTCCCCCTTTTCTCCAGCCTCCCCTGTTGATACAAAAGTAAACAAAAAGAAGAATCATATCAAACCAGGACTATTTTCTGTCAGCAGAATTGACAAGAATGTCATTCTCTCCAGTGAAAAAAACAGAAGCATATGTGATCTGATTTAACAGCTTTACTTGATGGACAGAAAACAGATTTTTCTTCACGTGATGTAGACACTGGCAAACCCTGTCAGTACATTGCTCGAGTCTTATACAACAGGTCTGGTTTTGTGGATGTTACTTAAATCACTGAGATACAAAAAGTCAACAGCATAATTCACTTAAGCAGAAGCTTCAGAATCAGACCCCAACTTAGCATATAAACTTCTGTGTTCACCAAACTCTTTCCAAGTCTCTGCTAAGGACATGTTTAAGTGTCAAGTGAAAATGGCTTAACTATGACCTCAAATTAAAAGAAAAAAATGTCATTTTTGAGACCTATAAGAAGGCACTGCTACATCCATCATGAAAGGACCATTTTGAAGCATGAAAGCATTAACACCCTACTCCATATCCTCAGTTATATACTGTGCCTTTTAATCTCTGAGGTTTGAACCACTATGTAGTGTATTTACATACATATAGCTTGTGGTGCATCATTATATTCAGCATATTTAAACACCACTTTCTGTAAAAAGTGTTTGCCTCCCTGGTGCCTTTCATTAAAAATTTGGGGATGCTTAGCTTGTTTTGCCCCCTACAACTGTACTACTACTGTAGTCTGCCACTGACATAAAATTAAAATCTCTGACAAAAAGAAGGCTAAAGAATGGTTTATACAGCCACCTTGGGAAAACCAAGATTTATATGAGGAAGGAGAAGAAAGTTCTATGGTTTCCACAGAAAGTAAAGTGCTGGTATGTAAAATCCAGAGTTAGCACAGCACATATGATGTCCCAACACTATTCCTATGGAGTGAACATTAGCTGCTTTCCAGGAAGCTGATGAGAACACCACAGCAAGAAAGTTAATAGTTATCATGCACCCCCACTAGCCCAGCTCTCTGGCATAGCTGGCGGCTGTGGTTAAGAGAGGAGTCACAGAGCTGACATGTAAAAACACGCCACACCATGGCACATTTCAAATATGCAGCCTCCAGCTCTCTTTCCATCTCTCTCTTTATTGTAGACCTAGGGTGACTGTGAGCTGAACTCAGTCCTCCATCTGTTATATTTTCATTCATCAGCCTGCTCCAGACCATCTTCCCTGCCTTCAGACATGCAAAAATAGGCCATTCTCTGACCTTAATGAGGACAAACTTCACATAATCCCCAGTGAATAATATTGTTAGTATGAAACAGGCTATAATTTAGCACATTTGGGAAGTCACATTTTTATTATCAAGTAACCAATAGGCTTTGTATGATTGCCTTTCACCCCTCAGTGCTGGTTATGAGTTCTTTGCTTCCCAAAGATAAATCCTGACAATGACTTTTCCTTGCTCTCTGGAGGCTGAGAGAAGGCTATTACAGCCTATTGCTTTACATGTTCTTCAGAGTGAAAGCTCTGCATTAGGGATCAATAAAATAGATCACTCTTGCTTCAGGCCATTACACTTGCCTGCATTTATTCTTATAATACGATGACACCGCATTCCTTAGTGTGGGTGTTTTAAAAACTTTCTCCAGGAGGAGATTACTCCATTACAGGCCCAGCTACAGACCAGTTGACATTTTTTTCTTATCAGCTGTTTTAAGGAGCAAGACCTTGGCCAAGAGGGACAGATCAGTGGTACAGCTCAGCTTTGCTTTGTGTAAGTTCCTATTCTTGCTGTTTGTACCCTGAGCATTGTGCAAGTAGAGGAAGTAAAGCCTGTGCAGGTGTCATGGGCAACAAAACAGTTTTCTGTCAAGAAATTTCAATCAATTTAATTTTTCACCAATAAACAATCATGTTTAACTTCTTGATTTGTGAAATAAAGAAAGACACCCCTGTGCCTCCTTTCTGGTCTCCAGTCCCTCAATCTACAACTAAGTCCCTTGACAACAGGAGGTTGGGATCTGTTCATTATGGTCTCCACCCAAGTGATCTGTTGCAGCCTCTTCCACCAGCCACGGTCTCTTAGCACTTGCACCTCTTGCTCAGTGTCCTCTCCATCCCTTCCTGGCTCTTTGCTGCAGCCTCAGTATCAAACAGTACCTTTTTTGTCAGCACAATGCAGCATTGTCTATGCAGCTGAGACAGGGCAAGATGTAGTTAGTAGTGCTCCACAGTGTTGAGATGCCCCAAACTCCTAAAAGAAATTTAGCCCTGCCACCAACATGAGCTATGGTGGGATCATGGGTATCATGACACTACTACTAAGTAGTTCTAGGTTCTTCTTACATCATCTCTGGGAGAGATCTTTCTAAACTCAGGTGATATATCTTACAACTGCTGTTGATTTGCCTCCTTTTGTGAATTCTTTGGGACAGGATTTGTCTATGCTTATATTTGCAACTTCCTATCATAAGCTGTACCATCTACAATGTGCAACTAAAATAGTACACCAAATATTAACTATGTGAGCTATTAAGCATTCCTGGCTAGTGATAACTTCTTTCCATTACTCATATTCCCCATGTAAGTAGATGCATCAAGTATGGGTGTAAAAAAAATGGTTTTTTTTAATGTAGCATCAACTTTTTTATCTATTGAACATCATTGTGACTATTAAGACAACTCCTGCTTTAGACTCTAGAAGGGAGACAAAACAAGATGGCAAACTGTAAGGTTTAAACTTTGAAGGATTCTTCTGTGTTATTTTTTTCTTTACAATAGTAGTAACTTCAATTTCATTTGCCCATCAAAAGAAACCAAACTTTAGGAAGAATATGAGTGAGAAGTGTAGTAAGGCTTCATAGTCCATTGCTTTTTCACACACAGCACACACTTTTCATATTATTAACACTGATGGCTTTTTAAAACATGGTTCAGTCTGATGTCTGCATTCTCAGAGCCATGGTTTTTCCCTTACACTTTTCATCTTACTTTATAGTCTCGAGTTAAAAAATAACAAACCCACCAAAATCTGCCCCCTAAAAAACCCCACCAAAATAACTACAAAAAACAAACAGGCAAAAAAATCCACAGAAAAATCAAACCAAAATAAAAATACCCTAAACATACAAACAAACAAACAAAAACAAATACAAACCACCAAAACCAGTCCCTAAGACCTAAACTGCTGACCTTAATCTCATTTCTGCTTTTTCTGTTCTTGGTGTCTTTACTGGCCTTCTTCCTCATCCATTTCCACCTCCATTCTCATCTCATGCCCCTCCTGATTTCCTCTTTTACACTGTGAGATCTTAATTGATTTTGTGTCATTTTCCATTTATTTAGTTTCCACTCTCTCCACTCAGTCTCATTCTTGAGCTCTTCTTTCTTTGTTTTTCCCCTGTTATCTCTTTCTGTTCTTCTAAAATTTCTCCTTTACGCTCCCCTGCTTTGGTGTACTTTTCCCTGATTACTTTCTTCATCACCCCATTTGGGCTCCACTTTTTACACCACCTCTTAAGTGTCTATCCTCTGCCATTCACGTATCCTGTGGTCTCCCTAATTTCTTGCACTTTTTTTCCCTGTACCTGTTTGTCCCAAATTCTGACAGAGCCATTCCCAGCAGCAGTGTGGCACTCTCTTCTCTATCACTGGAGATGTTGCCCAGCAGAGGAGGAGATGGTGCAGATCTAAAAGCTGCAGTGAGTAAATCCTGCTGCACAGGAGCTGAAATTTGGGCACATGGCCACACGTGTGCTCAGTTTAAAGGAAGCCTTGCCCAGTGAAATGGGTTGGAGTTGTGCCAGTAGGGGACAGCAGTATCTCATCACCACCTCTCAGAGCCAGTCCCCCTGATGGCAGAGTTGAAGCATTGAAAGCTCTTTAGGGAATTTCACATTAACTAGGTCTGTATCAGGCCATTTTGTGATTCACTGAATTTGTACACCAATCTCTCTCAATTTTGCAAGGCTTATATCTCAAGAAACTGAGCAAAATCACACAGTGGTCTCCAGGCCTCTTTCTGATTTCCAGGCTTAGAATTGTCCTCTGCCAAAGGGTCTTGCACACTTTACACACTTTAAAAACTTCTGCTGCGTATAATAATGCTAATTTTGACTGATTATGAAAACAAGGAAACCAATGCAAAGAAGTCACAAAACTCGTCCCGTCAAGTTCTTTGATATGAAAAAATATTTTCAAAGCTTAGGGCTGTGGAGTCTGACCCTTTGACTGAACTTTCATGCAAATTTGGACAACATATATTTAACTTAGTTGAGCTCTCCTCTGTAAATCACATTAACAGCACTATCTTATTTCTTTTACACAGTAAATATACTAAAAAAATAAAATAACTTTACTCAAGCCTTAGTTAAAGCTCAGAAGGCCTGGATAAAGTGTTGTTCTTTCTAGCAAGAACACCTAAAGAAGATCTCCATACTATTAAGATCAAAAGCCAGTTATCAAAGTAAATAGTAAAAATAGCTTTTGGTTGAGTTCAGGCATCCAAAGGTGCATCTATAATAATAATAATAATAATAATAATAATAATAATAATAATAATAATAATAATAATAATAATAATAATAATAGACAAAGCAGTAATAAATATTAAAGAATAAAAGTAGCCTTAAAGCCATTTGGGCAAGCACAGCCTGCACCCCTGTAGCACAATTCTTTTGCCTCGAGCAGAAAGCAGCCACAGACAAACTGGGCAATGTCTGGGGAGAGCAATTTACACCCCAGCCACACCAAACCAGCGGCCAAGCTGGGCTCACAATTTAGCTGTGTGAACAACTGCAGAACAGAACTGAGCCTCACTTCTCCCAATCAGTTAACCAGAACAGACAATACCTGCAGTCCAAACTGTGACCCTCAGGCAACTCGGGAAAGCCCAGATTTGTACAGATAAGATTAATGGCACCAATTCTGGCTAGGTGGGTTTTGTGACACTAGAAGGCATAATTAAAAACTAAAAGGTTTGCTGTATGATTCTTACACATTTTTTTTTTATTATTGTTGACGATAAACTGGTGGTTTTCATTGAGATTTTTGTCCTTAGTTAAAAAGTATTTCCTCATGTTCAAAAGTGTTATATTTCAACAGATATGTCATAGCCTTCACAAAAGGAATTATTGTTATTCACTAAACAGGGCTGGAATTTCAACAACGATAATGGATGTTGTTGTTTTAGAATGCTAATTCTTCCCAGTGGTTGATTTCTTATGCAAGTTATATTTTTTCCTATGAAAAGATAAATTATTTATTACACCACCTTTGGGCAAGAGTTTGGGGGCATATTCCATAAAAATGTTGCCTTTTTCCACAAAAACTATAGAAATGCTAAAAACCTAACTAATGTTTGCTTTCTTCTAAGAGGTATTTGAGCTTTCAAAAAAAATCAAAAGACAAACAAAATACAATAAAACACAAAATAATTCCTATTTACACTGCAAAATGGAAATGAAAACCTCCCCAGGTATAATGTAGGGCCTGATTTTACAGTTTTTGGGTATGTGTACCCCTGCTCAGTATAAACACAGAGAGAACAACCAGGCAATGTATAAGAATAACAAGCACTAGTGATCACAAAAAAATCTGGGAAACTGGCATGCATTCTCTGAACCATTTAATTTCACCTTATGGGTGTTAAAACTCCATTTTTAAGGAGGCTACAAACAGGGGCAAAAAAGAGGACAGTTGAGAGGCACCTTCTTTGTCTCTGTTAAAACTGTCAGTTATGCAAATGAGCCTGTTAGAAAAAAACGATTAATATTTAAATAATGAAGTAGGCTTTCACATTACCTTTGAGGCCTGGAACAAGAATCTGAACAGAGCAGGACTCCTCTGCAATGTGTTGAGGATATCCAGATCTTAGCAGTGACAGGAAGGCAAGGCTAATTAGAGTCACCAGGAAAACCAGATCTCTCTTCATAATGAGCACTTACAGGTCACTGACTCCTAAACAAAAGAATGAATAAACAGTTACAAGAATTCCAAAGGCTTTCAACCATTTCTGAACACATGCAGCGTCCCACTACAAACACAATATATATTTGTGTGCCATAACCCACACAGCATGAAGTACATGTGCAGCTCCTCCAAGCAGGTTATCTGCTCCTCAGACACACATGAAACAGGCAGCAGTACATTTAGCAGGTTTTTTTTTGCTGTTAAACTGGATGGAATAAATCTCAGGAGAAATTTAATTAAACAAAATGGAGATTAAATAATGCTAATAATAGGCATTCTGTGTTCATGATTTCTCATTGGAGGCAGCAATCTGGAAAGGTAAAAGGAGATAATACAGCATGCAGGCTTAGAATGATAGAATTGCTTAGACTGGAAAAGACCTCTAAGATCATCAGCCAACCATTAACCCAGGACTGCCAAGTCCACCACAAAGCCATGTCCTCATAAGTGCCACATCTACATATCTTTGAAATATGTCCAGGACTGGTGACTCAACCACTTTCCTGGGCAGCCTGTTCCAGTGCTTGACAACTCTTTCTATGAAGTAATTTTTTCCTAATAGACAATCAAAACTCCCTCTGGCACAATTTGAGGCCATTTCCTCTTGTTCTATTTCTTGTAACCTGGGAAAAAAGACCATCTCCACCTTGGCTACAACCTCCTTTCAAGTAACTGTAAAGAGCAATAAGGTCTCCCCTGAGCCTCCTTTTCTTCAGGCTAAACCCCACTCCTCACAGGCCTTGCACTCCAGACCCTTCACCAGCTCTGCTGCCCATCTCTGGACACACTCCAGCACATCCATGTGCTTCTTACAGTGAGGGGCCCAGAACTGAACACAGGATTTGAGGTGTAAACTCACCAGTGCCAAGTACAGGGGGAAAATCACTGCCCTGCTGTGGTCCTGTTGGCCACACCATTGCTGATAAAGGGCAGGATGTCACTGGCCTTCTTGGCCACCTGGCTTTGACCTGAAGGTTGTCAGTGCTAAGATCCCACTCAGAGTGGATACTGCTTTAAAGGAGCAATGCAGTAACAGATGAGACCAACTCAAAGGCCTGAAACTTCACTTCTCATCTACCTGAGCACTGGAATTGTGCCCAGGCAAATTGTCTGGTACAATAGCCCTCATATAACTCATTGAGGGTGGAAGGCAGGTAATATTTCACTGTATCATTCAATAAAGTTGAATCAGAGTCTTCAATAACTCCTGAAGAGAATCACCTTTGAAACATATACTAGTCTAAGCTGACAAGTGAAATGTCTTGCCTGAAATTAGGCTGTGAAGAGATGTCTCAGAAAACAACCAAACAGAAATGGAGTTCGCGTGAAAGGACTGTCAAAAGACAGTATTTAGGGGGCCTGTAAAAATACTTTGACAAAGTGTTATTTATGTATTTCTGATATGTTTTTCCAGTCTGTCCTTAAACAAAGCTCTGTACTCTACAAATAAGCTGAAAGTCATAACAGGTTTTTATCATCTTTTATAGCCACCATAAGGACTGTGCATTTTACATCTAGAGCAAGAAGATTGGGCTATATTAATTTCCACTCCCTGAATCCCTTCAAAAATAAGTCAAGTAGGATTAGGCACAGGTGTGGGACCCAGTATGTGGGTCTGTATGTCTCAGCATATTGGGGGTCTAGGAGAGCAGAACTGTTATTTTTGGGATGGCCTGAAGGTATTAACTGGCATAACAGATGTCTTAGCAGCAAGGCCAAGGAGATCATTTTGGAGTTGGGGGAATAAAATGTCCCTCTGAATTACTGTCCAGTTTGTGCTTCCATTATCTCCTAGGAGATCATAGCAAGGGAATCTGTTGGGAGCAGACTTTGTCTCCTTCCAAATGTGTGGAGGGCATTGCATGAGTTACAGACCAGGTCTCTCTGCCTCACAACCCCCTTGCTACAACATCTGTTTCTACATCCACACTGAGGGACGGGGGCTGCCAAAAGCTCTTACTGATCATACAGATCTGGTGCAAAGACTTGTGTATGCTGAGTCCCTTTAGACCCAAATCCTTTCCCCAGATTTTCTTCCAAAGAAGAGAGACGTGCAGCTGGAGGACCACACCTTAAAAGGAGATATCTATGCTTAGATCTGGGAAGAGCTCTTGGGTCAAGAGACCCCAATACAGACATAGTCTAATGGCTACAGTCAGGCAGGAAACCCTAGGGAAAAGGTAATCCTGGGTAATACTGGGCAATTTTCCCATGGGGCAAGGGAGGAACAGGGACTATCTGAGGATTTCCACAGCCTATAATGCATCCTATAATGGGTCAGGCATAAGCTACTTCAAAGACAAGCTTTGCCAACCAGGAAGAATACCTAGGAGTGTGGAATGGCTGCTTAAGTATTTAGGCCATGATAAATTTTGTCACAATTGCAGCAATTAACACTTGATGCTTCTCAAGAGTACAGGACAAAATTGACTTTCGCCACCCACGGATGAGGAACAAGAGCTAGAGGAGAAGGTACATAAAGCCATGCATCTGTTAGAATGTGTCCAGAGGAGGGTCACAAAGATGATCAGAGGGCTGGACCACCTCTCCTATAAAATCAGGCTGAGAAAGTTGTGGCTCTTCAGCCAGGGGAAACATCACTGGAGCCTTCCGCTACTTAAAGTGGGCTTATAAAAAAAGGAGGAGAGTGACTTTTTACACAGACAGACAGTGATAGGGTAAGGAGGAATGGCTTTAAACTGAAAGAGATATTTAGATTAGATAGAACAGGCTGCCCGGAGAAGTTATGGAGGCCCCATCCCCAGAAGTGTTCAAGGCCAGATTGGACAGGATCCTAAGCAATCTGGTCAAGTAGAAGATTCCCTGTCCATGGCAGAGGTGTTGGAATTAGATCTTTAAGGTCCCTTCCAAACCAAGCTTTTCTATGATTCTATGATAAAGGTGGACATAATGTACTGCAATAGTCCGGGAGGAAAAGGAAAAGTAATGGAAATTTGGATGCCATGCAGAAGCAGCAACCAGGCCAGCTCCCCAGGGCTCTGACAGATAAAACCTGCAGGAAAATATTTGCTGTGTTGCTGAACTCTGCTTTTCTGGGCTGCAGCCTCCCTTGCCTATGCACAGGGCCAGCCACAAGTACTAGAAACCAGGTCAAGTCACCAGCTACTTTACAGCTATTTTCTAAGGTTATGCAAACTGTTCGACCACAGTCTTGAGGTAGTTTTGAAGTATCAATCTCTGTGAGAGCACTTTTCTCCAAAATACCCTCATGTGCATATTAAAATTACTTTAGAAACATTAAGCTTTAATCTGGCTACATCGCCTCATAAGGCGATTCCTAACCCCAGGGTACAAGGAATTTGTCCACAGTGGACAGTCTCTTTTTTGTCTCTGATTCACAACAGTAGCAAGCAACTGAGAGCAACAAAAACTAGTCAATAAGAAAAGTTGAGGAACAGGGTGTTTTTCCAGATCTTCTAAGGTTTCTAAGGCCAGTCTTGGCATTTGAATAGTCAGTTCTGGTTGACTGCAAAATGAAGGGGTCCTTGTCAGGAACATGATTTGCCATGCCAAATGAGGGACCAGCACTCCCTCATGGAGGAAAGCAGTGAGTTGTGGTTGCCTCAGCCAGCCAGGATGTGCCTGGAAGTCTCAGCAGCAGCTACCCTTGAGAGACAGGGTTTGCAGGCTGAGCAAAAACATGATGTAGGTCCTACCTATCTTAGCCTGCAGGACCCACCCTATAGCCCAGGAGAACACCTGGTCACCAGCCTGCAGGACATCCTAGGCAGAACATCCCACTGTTTTTATGTAGTGGGAGCACTTTGGGATTCAGAAGATCAGACAAAGAGGCTTTCAAGCCAAGTGGTTCAGATACCCAGCTGAAAACCTGGAAATTAGGCAGTTTCAGCACGAGCACCTGGCAGACTAGTGATAAGGATTCTTGATGGACAAATTGGAGAGTGGAATGAAATGGCCTGAGATGGAAGAAGAAATTGAAATTAGGATGGTGCTCCAGTCTCTGCATTAGTGAATAAAAGACAACATCATCTCCTCTGTCTGCATTTTATGAGGATTTAGATGAATCGAGACTCCAACTGAAAGATCAAAGGCTCCAGGTATGTTAAATATTAATCTGCCTTTGCAAACTCCTACATAGCTCAGAGATGAGACAGACATCAAGCAGCAGAGAACTGTCAAGGCTGCTTTTTGGCTCTGCTCAGCAGCCACATATGAAGGATATTCTGGGGAAAAACAAAATCTCCAACAAAGCTTCAGCTCATTCCCTGCTGTTGGGCTTACATGTCTCAGAGACAGAGGGGATACAACCCCACCCTACCTCATATTAGCTCAACTCACAGAGGACTTGTTCTAGAAAAAAGAGCTTCTTCAGTGTCATTCAGGTAACAATACCCAGAAAAATAAGAATACTCAGGGAAATTACCTTGGTCTGAGAAGAGCCATTAACAGAAGGAATCTCTGAAGAAGTTGCATATTAAATACTCTATAGAATTTGTGGCTGCAGTAAAGGAACACATTAATAGTAGAATCAAACCAAAAGCACTTTGTATATCGCTTTCTCCATCTCTCCCTGCTTTCAAAAGAAACCTTCTGCAGCTAAAATTTCTTTCTGTGATTGAAATAACAGCTTGATCTGCAGATATGTGCTACAGCAGTACCTTTCACTTTAAAATCCTTGAAAATTTCTTGCCTTTCTGATCTACTTTCAAGCCCTTTCAGACCTAGATGCATCAAGTAATTTAGGAAAACTAAATCCTACTGAAACTGGACCTCAGATAAAGGAGGACTAGCCTGTTTTTTCAAACACTGTTTTGGCCCTGGGTATTTGAAGTATCTTCAGCATTGGTAAAACCAATGCCAGAGAGAAACCTAGACATGTTCAGCACTTGTAAAAGTATGAATATTTTCTCACTGTCTATTCAGGGTCAAAAGTGAAATTTATGGCCACTAACAGGGGCCATTAAATCAGTGAAAGCTGTGAGTATTGAAAAAAAAAAATTAGGAGA